GCGCTGCCCAGGGTGGGGGAAACGCATGCGAGAGCAACCACTGGGGCCTTCGGTGGAGCTCCCTATGGGGCCACGAAGCGCTGCCCAGGGTGGGGGAAACGCATGCGAGAGCAACCACTGGGGCCTTCGGTGGAGCTCCCTATGGGGCTACGAAGCGCTGCCCAGGGTGAGGGAAACGCATGCGAGAGCAACCACTGGGGCCTTCGGTGGAGCTCCCTTACGGGGCCACGAAACGCTGCCCAGGGTGGGGGAAACGCATGCGAGAGCAACCACTGGGGCCTTCGGTGGAGCTCCCGTATGGGGCCACGAAACGCTGCCCAGGGTGGGGGGAGGGGGGAACGCATGCGAGAGCAACCACTGGGGCCTTCGGTGGAGCTCCCCATGGGGCCACGAAGCGCTGCCCAGGGTGGGGGAAACGCATGCGAGAGCAACCACTGGGGCCTTCGGTGGAGCTCCTATGGGGCCTACGAAGCGCTACGGGGCCCTGGGGTGGGGGAAACGCATGCGAGAGCAACCACTGGGGCCTTCGGTGGAGCTCCCTATGGGGCCACGAACGCTGCCCAGGGTGGGGAAACGCATGCGAGAGCAACCACTGGGGCCTTCGGTGGAGCTCCCTATGGGGCTACGAAACGCTGCCCAGGGCGGGGGAAACGCATGCGAGAGCAACCACTGGGGCCTTCGGTGGAGCTCCCTATGGGGCCACGAAGCGCTGCCCAGGGTGGGGGAAACGCATGCGAGAGCAAACCAGGGGGGCCTTCGGTGGAGCTCCCTATGGGGCCACGAAGCGCTGCCCAGGTGGGGGAAACGCATGCGAGAGCAAACACTGGGGCCTTCGGTGGAGCTCCCTACGGGGCCACGAAACGTTGCCCAGGGTGGGGGAAACGCATGCGAGAGCAACCACCGGGGCCTTCGGTGGAGCTCCCCATGGGGCCACGAAGCGCCGCCCTGGGTGGGGGAACCGCATGCGAGAGGAGCCACTGGGGACTTCGGTGGAGCCCCCTATGGGGCCACGAAGCGCTGCCCAGGGTGGGGGAAATGCATGCGAGAGCAACCACTGGGGCCTTCGGTGGAGCTCCCTATGGGGCTACGAAGCGCTGCCCAGGGTGGGGGAAACGGATGCGAGAGCAAGCACTGGGGCGTTCGGTGGAGTTCCTTATGGGGCCACGAAGCGCTGCCCAGGGTGGGGGAAACGCATGCGAGAGCAACCACTGGGGCCTTCGGTGGAGTTCCCTATGGGGCTACGAAGCGCTGCCCAGGGTGGGGGAAACGCATGCGAGAGCAACCACTGGGGCCTTCGGTGGAGTTCCTTACGGGGCCACGAAACGTTGCCCAGGGTTGGGGAAACGCATGCGAGAGCAACCACTGGGGCCTTCGGTGGAGCTCCCTATGGGGCCACGAAACGCCGCCCTGGGTGGGGGAACCGCATGCGAGAGCAGCCACTGGGGACTTCGGTGGAGCTCCCTATGGGGCTACGAAGCGCTGCCCAGGGTGGGGGAAACGCATGCGAGAGCAACCACTGGGGCCTTCGGTGGAGCCTATGGGGCCACGAAGCGCTGCCCAGGGTGGGGGAAACGCATGCGAGAGCAACCACTGGGGCTTCGGTGGAGCCCCTATGGGGCTACGAAGCGCTGCCCAGGGTGGGGGAAACGCATGCGAGAGCAACCACTGGGGCCTTCGGTGGAGCTCCTATGGGGCCACGAAACGCTGCCCAGGGTGGGGGAAACGCATGCGAGAGCAACCACTGGGGCCTTCGGTGGAGCTCCCTATGGAGCCACGAAACGCCGCCCTGGGTGGGGGAACCGCATGCGAGAGCAGCCACTGGGGACTTCGGGAGCTCCCTATGGGGCCACGAAACGCTGCCCTGGGTGGGGGAACGATGCGAGAGCAACCACTGGGGCCTTCGGTGGAGCTCCCTATGGGGCACGAACGCTGCCCAGGGTGGGGGAAACGCATGCGAGAGCAACCACTGGGGCCTTCGGTGGAGCTCCCTATGGGGCCACGAACGCTGCCCAGGGTGGGGGAAACGCATGCGAGAGCAACCACTGGGGCCTTCGGTGGAGCTCCCTATGGGGCTACGAAGCGCTGCCCAGGGTGAGGAAACGCATGCGAGAGCAACCACTGGGGCCTTCGGTGGAGCTCCTTACGGGGCCACGAAACGTTGCCCAGGGTGGGGGAAACGCATGCGAGAGCAACCACTGGGGCCTTCGGTGGAGCTCCCCATGGGGCCACGAAACGCCGCCCAGGGCGGGGGAAACGCATGCGAGAGCAGCCACTGGGGCCTTCGGTGGAGCTCCCTATGGGGCCACGAAACGCTGCCCAGGGTGGGGGGAACGCATGCGAGAGCAACCACTGGGGCCTTCGGTGGAGCTCCCTATGGGGCTACGAAACGTGTGAAAGGTGTGCCGAGTGCAGAGGCAAGGAGGGGGAGGAGGGGGGAGGGGGAGGAGGAAAGAAGGAAGGAGAGACGCGGGGCACCGTCTCTACAAAACGAGGACCCAACACCACAGGATGGTTGGGACAAATGTTTTCGGCCTTTTCGCTTTTTCACTTCGGGTTGATTCGGGGGGCGTCCAGACGACCCCAGGACGGCCACAGGCAGGCGCAAGACAGGCCCGAGGATTCGAAAGTCTTTTGGGGCAGGGCGGGGGGAGGGCGCTCCCCGGCCTTACAGGCCTGGAGAGGGGGGCCCAGAGATCGACAAATGTAGGAAAACGAAGGGAATAACAATGTTTTTGGTTTTCTCGCCTTGTCGCTTCCGATTGGCTCTTGAGGCGTCCAGATGCCTCCAAGACGGCTCCAGATGAAGCCCCAGACGAGCCCCAAAGAGGCCCAAGGCTGGCGCAACAGGGCCTGGAGAGTGGGAAAAGAATAAACACACAGTAAAAAACATGTTTTCGGTCTTCTCGCTTGTGCACCATCGCTTGGCTCGGGGGGGTCAAAACGACCCCAGGATGGCCACAGCAAGGCGCCAGACAGGCACGAGGAGGCGAAATTCGTTGGGGGGGGGGCGCTGGGGGGGGGCTCCCCGGCCTTCTATGAAAAATATAGAAATAGGATTGGTCGCGCTTCGCGCGTCGCTCAGCGCGAAGCGCGCCCAGTTAGGCGACCAGATGGCCTTTGGCGGCTTCTGGAGGTCGCTGGAGGTCAACGGAGGCCTCCCCCCACAGGCTTCCACAGTTTTCTGGGGTCGAACCTGGCGGCCCAGCGCAATGGCAGCACCTTCTCACGCCAAAAGAACTAATTCGCGACAGCTTGAGACTAATTTGCGACAGCTTGCGACGAATTTGCGACAAGGACGGTACGGCGAACGCGGGAGGCGAAGCTCGCCTCCCGCAGGCCCAGCGCCCCCCCCCGCCCCCCGTTCGGAGGCCTGCTGGTGGACGCCCTCCAGTCCACGGAGGCATGGTTGACCGGCCTGGCGCAGGAGGGCGCACTCGCTGGGGAGCGGGCGCAGCCCATCGTGCGGACGGCGCTCGAGGCGCAGCTTCGTCGCCGCAGCCGCCGCCGCCGTCGTCCGGGTCGCCGCCGCCGTCGTCGTCGTCGTCGTCGTCGTCGTCGTCGTCGTCGTCGTCGTCGTCGTCGTCGTCGTGCGGACCGCGCTGGTGGCGCAGCTTCGTCGCCGTCGTCGCCGCCGCCGTCGTCCTCGTCGCCGCCGCCTCCGTCGTTGTGCGGACCGCGCTGGAGGCGATGTTCGTGCTGGGCCACCTGTTCGCTCCCCTGGCGCCCTCCGCCTCGCACGCCATCATCGGCCGGCGCTCGGCGGCGCGGAGAAGGGTGCGGCGCGCCGAAGAGTGTTGTTCGCCCGTTTCGTGCATCCCCTTGGTCGAAGCGGCTACTGAACGCAGCGCGTGCCCGCCGAACACACAGTGGCGCGCTGCGAGAGCTGGAGACACACCGACGGCCCTGCCGTATTTCTGACGCGCCAGATCAATTCCAAGCAGTAGCACCCCATCGCCGAGGGCGCAGGCATGGGCCTGCTCCGGGAATGGAGCCTGGGACCCTCGCACCCAAAGCGAGAATCATGCCATTAGACCTAGCAGCCATTTGGAATGTATTTGCTTGCATCGTCCGCATTTGGCGCCTGGCAGCATCAGCGGCGCAGGACCTATCGCGATCACAGCGAGGATCAGCCGAGCAGGCAGCTCGAGCCTTTTCAGACACGGGAAGAGTTGTTCTTTGATTGTTTGTTGGCCCTCCGCTGGGACCAGTGGCGATGACGATGTCGATGACCATAACAACGAGGATCATCTTGGCAATGCTTACGATGACGATAACGGTTAGGGCGATGATGATGGGTAGATGAATCAAGCAACCGATGGTTGTTGACGACGCCGATGACGGCATCTAGAGAGCAAGCCCCTTTTACAAGTCTAGGAAGCGGCGTGGGCCTGGCGGGTGGAGTCGTAGGCTCCTGGGAAGGGGGGCATCTACAATGTAGTAACATGTAATCTGTAATACGATGCGATTCCGGGGTATGGCAAATATGCAGCGTTGGGTTAAGCTGTGTTCGAAAGTGAGCAGTTTGTTGCGCGGTATCTGGCGGCTTCCACACGGTTTCTGCAGGCGCCCTCGATTTCCATTCAAGTCCCGCTGAGTTTCTTGATTGATCTAGCGTCACGATTTTCGCCTTCGCTTTAGATTGTCTCGCACATCGACATGTACCTTCCCAGGTTTCCGCCAGATGGAGCCCAGCAGGTTTCTGGCGACCTTCGGCGGGTCTTGGCCTGGGAGCGGCCTCCCGCTGAGGCAGGTGCCTTCTTGGGAGCCCCGCCGTATGGCGACGAAATCTATGCATATCCAGTGCTCCCTGGCCAGGCCCATCACAAGCCCAGCAGCGGTGTATACGCCACGCCCTCCTGGCTTGGCCAGGAGGGCGTATGCACAGCTTCCAGGTTGAGGATGGGCCTGGCCAGGTAGCAGTGGATGTATAGATTTCGTCGCCCGACGCTGCCTGCTCGGAAGCCTTCTCAGAGGGTTCCGACCCTCCTGAGAAGTCCACT